ACTACTGATGCTCAAAGCCGCTGTGCTCCTGTGTTTCGGGCTTCTCAACGCAAACGTGGAGGTTTCCGAGACGAATAACGCGTGTGGTTTTACTAAATGCTCATTATAAAGTCAACAGGAAATTCAAGTGAACTATTTACTGTATTTTGTATAAAACATGGAAGGGCAATAAAGACATTTATCATGTTCAAAAATATTCGATTTCAAATAAATGCTGTTCTTTTCAAGTGTCTGTTCATCAATGAATCTTGAAAAATTAAATGTAGGCTACGACGGTTTCCACAGAAATATGAATCATAACTGTGTGTCGATCATCAGATCCTCATATTAGAGTGATTTCTGAAGGGTCATGTGACACTGAAGACTGGAGTAATGATGCTGTATATTCACATAGAGAACTGATGATGTACACTGGAGTAATATTACACGGTTTTACTGTATTTTTATGAAGTAGATGCAGGTTTGAGCAGAACTGAAAGATCTCACTGTCATTTCAAAGCTTATGAACTAAAAGCCACTAACTCCATTTTTGCTCTCATTAATCTGATATTCTCTGTATGGACGAGTCAAACACACACACACACACAGCGTATCGTTCCATCGGTGTAAAATCATGTGACGCTGAGACTCGCTCGATGCACTCTGTTTAAGTATCTCGGCTCATTTCTGCAGCTAATCTCTTCGGCGCAGTTTCTTTACGAGCTGTTAATATTGATTGGTGGGAAAGACAGAGCAGGATGTAATCACAATAACAGGTTTCATTAATGTGTGTGTGTGTGTGTGACACACACATTGATCAGTGTAATGCTGAGACGCACCTGGAAGAATAATGAGCACTTCTTTTAATGACCGTCACTATTATCAAGGTCAGTGTCTGAGCGAATCGGTCTCTCCTGTACGCTGTGTTTGCTTGATCTGTGAAGCGTACGACTCCCTGTCACTCTTGTAACCTGTGTGTGTGTGTGTGTGTGAGAGAGAGATTGTCACTCCTGTAACCCACCGTCTCACACACACTCTCAGAAACACAGTTCACGCTTCAGAGAGCGCGTCTTTATTAGCACACGTGAAGCTACTTCAATCTGAGCTCAACTATCTGAAACACACACACACACACACACACACACACAGAGAGAGAGCATGTGTGAGGCGTTGTCTGCTGTTGTCAGCCGGCCTTAAGTTAGATTTGAGTTTATATAATTGTTAGAATATCTTCGACCAACAGCAAATCCCCGTCCGACTCTCCCACATTCCCAGCAGTCCCGAGTAATTCCCCCCAAGTGTGTGTGTGTGTGTGTGTGTCGGTCTCGCTTCTTTACAAGAGCCAATGAAGTTGTAAACAGGTGTTTCAGAGTCTCTGTGTGAGAGTTGGACAGACATTTACGGTCGATCCCACAAAAACTCAATCATTCACTCACTGTCAAATGCCGGCGTACCAGAGTGCTAATGCTAATGCTAATGCTCATGCTAGTCATACTTTCTGCCATTTCTGAGTTAAAGAGCATTTGTTATTCACTCCCACTGCACACTGCAACAACATATATTTTACAGTAAAAATGCGGTAGCTGCATTTTAAGATTTACAGATTGAGCGGTACGAAAAACTACATCCATTCCCTTTAATAAACTGACAAACACCTGATAAATGAAGACCAACATGACGAATCACAGCTCAGCTTCTCCATAATCCAGATAAATACTAATATAGAAAAACTGCATCATGGAAACACACACACAATATATATAATCCTTCAACAACCGAACATCAGCAGGAACATGTCCGTCACAGAGGACTTCGTGTGCAGTTATTGTTCATGTCCACTATCGTCAGTTATCATCAGAACATCTCCTTCAGTCCTTCAGACGGGCGATGAGATCATCATATGGACGAGAGCAGCGAGAACATTCTGCCAAACATCTGCACAGAACAGAGAGCGTTTACGGGTTTGAGTGACGGGAGTAAACGGTCTAATCTGTCATCGGTTCTGACCCGTCGCCGGCTGGTTCTGGACCCGTAACCCGCCAGAACCGTTTAACACGAGAAGCGAGAGGAGCTGGGGATGGAGGAGGGTAATCGCTCCTGAGCTGCTGATAATCCTGAAGGATACGCCTGATAATTATAAATTATTGATTATTGGCATCATGAAGAACCTTTAACATCTCTGGCATCTTTACAAGGTTCTTTATAGTGGAAAAAAAAGTTATTTCCTGATTAAAATGTTCTTCACACTGATTTATTTTTTTTCCTGAAGGGTCTTTGGGGAACCAAAAATGGTTATTTTATGCCAAGAAAACACACACACACACACACACACACATCCCAGATAGCAAACTGACATTGAATCAACGTGGAAATATGACATCGAAACAACGTTGATCTGACATTGTTTTGCTCATCGAATTAACGTTGAACCAACGTCAGACGCGTCATTCTTTCAAAACTAACGGAAAATCAACTTGAAATCAACGCGTCGTTTCAACGTTATGAAAGCAAACCAATTTTCGATTTTCATTTAGCTTTGAAGAATGCCGCGTTTCCACGTTGATTCAATGTCAGTTTGCTGTCTGGGTACTGTCTCTTTCTATATCTATAACTGAAGAGTTCAGATGCAAAAGCCTCTAAATGCCATTTGAAATTTTCTTCTAAAATGATCATTTTTATCAAACTTGTATATTTAAGTTCAGTAATTTCACTTAAATGGCAATAATAATTACCTATTAATTGTCATTTAAGTGGAATTACTGAACTTAAATATACAAGCTTGATAAAAATGGTCATTTTAGAAGAAAATTTCAAATGGCATTTAGAGGCTTTTGCATCTGAACTCTTCAACTATACAGCTACACATAAACAGAAGAGGAGATCATAACTCTTATTTATGTCGTTCAGTTTGCCCACACAACTCAACAATTCATTCTTGTGATCAATTACAAAGGCTTCGGGCCTCAGGAATCCATTTTCTGTGACACACCAGATCTGCACACGCATCTTTCCCACACACTCGTCCACACACTCGTCCACACACTCGTCCACACACTCGTCCACACACTCGTCCACACACTCGTCCACACTCCTTTCTCATGTCATTTCACATCCTTTTGTCTGTTTGTAGTTATGTATGTGGATGTTGCAGGTGTGTCACATGTTTAGTGGCAAGCATTTTAATCAGAGCGTTTTAAACGAGCTTTAAGGCCAGGGTAGAGAGAGAGAGAGAGAGAGAGAGAGAGAGGGAGAGAGAGAATCACACCAGGTAATATCCTTTTGTTCAAACACAAAGTGTTTTCTGACGCCCCAGTTGTCAGGAGCGATTGTGGGGAAATAAATAAAGATGATGTTTTGAAGGAAAGCCGCTTTATGGATATTCAAACACAGACGATTTCAGCGCATGTACATTTCGATTTTTCCGCACCCGTTCTCCGATAATGCGGAACGTTTTTATTTTATTTTTTTCCCAATCATTACAGCGCTTTAGAGGAGCGAATCCTGCGAGAGACGGAGGCCAGAGCTCTTCTTTGCTCATGGACACGAAAATTCATTTCAATATATTTACCTCTATGAATATTTTTTTCTGTTTCAGTGGGAAATAATAAAGAGTAGCGCCGGCTGCCCGATGGTGGAAGATCCACACACACATTAGAAAGGGAAATTGCACTCAGCAGGATGAAAAATCATTGTGTTTCCCCAGGTGAAAAATATTGTTGCTTTGCTTAAAAGTGCATGCAAGGCAAGCCGCGTTATTAGAATGTTTAAATATTAATTCTTCCAGCGGGTAGTAAAGATGATCGAGACACTGTGTCAACTCTCTCTCTCTCTCTGCAAACAAACAAACACACAGCGCTTTCATTACTGCAGACTTGAGCCACGCTGTACACTTTAATAGTAAAAGCTTCTGGGATCCGCAGATTTCATCATTTTATGGCTGTTTGCGCGCAGATGAAAGAGAATAATTTAAAGACTTTAGTTTGTTCTTGCGAGGGAGATTTAAGTGATGCTAAGAGCCAGGATGTTTCAGATCGTATCATCTCCACCTCACCTCGCTGAAAACCTGTGTGTGAGTGTGTGTGTGTTTCTGTTTATATTACATTGTGTGGACCCCACAAGTATAGTAAAACCTGAGCATCACCTACATTGTGGGGTCCAGCCAGCGCTCCCCATGAGGAAAACAGCAGATAAATCAGACTAAAATGTCAAAATGTGTGAGCAAGTGTGTGTATGTGTGCTGTTACATCTGAAGAAACGTCAAAGTAAATTGCGATTGATCCCACATGTCAGTCCGCACAGGTAACAGTCAATAACCTGCGATCACGAGTGTGTGTCGAGTAATTAAAAAGAGCTCTCTCTCTCTCTCTCTTCAGATCATCTGTTTCTCGCCCCTCGTCGCTACAGAAGAAACACACATTGAGCGGATTCTGGAGTTTGCTGACACAAAGCCGGCTCATTTCTGAGGATCTTCTGGCTTTCAGGTAGAAGTTCGGAAGTCTCTCTCTCTCTCTCTCTCTCTCTCTGCTCGGTGTGTGTTCGGTGCGCGCGCAGACGGAGTGTGTGAAGGCACTTTAAAAGCTCATCAGGCGAGCGCTGCACTTGTAGGAAATTCCTTATTCATGACGAACAGCCCGAGTCGAGGTAATGACTCAAATCAAGGTGGCCTCGCAAATGTTTAAATCTACAAGGACGACGAGGCCATGAATAATGCAGAATAATTTGCATCTAAATTTTTTAAGTGTTCTTTATTCAAAAACTAAAATGCGGCTTCGATTAAACTTTGATGGGTTGAAGCCGAGTCGCATTCACTGAAATTATTTAGAGGAGCCGAGAGGATGAGCGCGACTGCCAATAAATAGTAATTAAGTGTGAGCTGCTGGACACGGACGGATAAAACACAACCTGTGTGTGTGTGTGTGTGTGTGCATAGGTAGAAAGCTTTGATCCACAGTCATTCAAACACACACCTGCATTGTGTTTGTGTGTATAAACATGCAGAATAAAGCTCAGACTCATCTTACCTGCTGCTGTCATCCACGGGCGATCGACATCGGGACACACAGGGAGAGGGAGAGAGAGAAACGGGATATTGATTAATGTGGTGTCTTGTGTTATCTGTATCCTTTGTTAAAGCTCACACACAGAGATCTCACGGAGAGATGACATTTAAGACGCGTGCAATAAACACTGAGGGACAATATCTCTGATCCAGAGAGAGAGACTTGAAGAATAAACTTCACATGTGAGGGTTTTATATCCCAAAATAATGTGTCTGTAAAAATTCAGCTCGAAATACCAGATCATTTATTATAACTCGTCAAATTTGCCCCTTTTTTGGGGCGCGAGCAACATTTTTTTTGTGTGTGTGTCCCTTTAAATGCAAACGAGCTTTAGCTCCGCCTCCGTTCAGAAGAGGGCGGAGCTTCAGAGACTCCAGCAATAACAACACAGGCCGATCTCACTGATCCAGGGTCAGGAGTAACAGCAGCGAGTCTTTACTCTCATGCTGACTAGAACAACTAAGACTTAATAAACTAAAAAATAGAACTTATATAAAATAATAAAAACTAAAAATATAAATATACTTACTATAGTAATAACACACTGAATAATGCATAATTACAAGCAACTAACCCTAAACCCTAACCGTAACTCTATGTAGTTCATTAATATTACTCAGTTCTACATCAATGTATCTGTCACCTTAAATCTAATTCAAAATATTAACAAAATCTATAATAGTACATCAATGATGATAAAATAATAACACAAATCAATTACACAACCAGCAGATATTGAATTACCCCTTCATGGGTGAATGTAGAATTCAAACAAAAAAACTCTTTCCTCTGGATTGTGTTCCTCAGTCAGCAGTCGAACTACAGTAACAGGCCTGTGCTATCAGTGTGATATCGACGTACACACACACACACACACTCACACACACTCATCATCAAAGACAGACGAGAGATGCGCTCTGAAAAAAGTGCGTCATTTCTACAACGTGTTACTGACAACTCACAAGAGTACAGCAGAAGACAACCCACACACACACACACACACACTCTCTCGCATTCGAGATATGAAAGAGATATTATTTTCCTTGGACTCTCGTCAGACTTTCAGACCCGTAAGTGTGTGTATGTGTGTGTGTGTGTGTGTGTGTGTGTGTTGTCTAACAGCTCGTGAAGGAAGAGTGTGTGTGTGTGTGTGTGTTGTCTAACAGCTCGTGAAGGAAGAGTGTGTGTCGTCTCACAGCTCGTGATGATGAGTTTGTATCTAGAGAATAATCCAGGATAAGCTCTTTGTACGTCTGAAAGAGCGACTGATGTCTATCAGAACACACAGCAAACAATACACACACACACACACACACACACACACACACACACACACCAGCGGCACAAAAGCAGGAATCTGAGATCTGATCTTCAGTGATCCTGATAAACGGATAAAACTCTGTGTGTGTTTGATGAACCAATCAGAAGCTCTTCCTGAACGAGGAGTATCTTCATCATAGCAGGTCTGAGGGTGGAGGAGTCGGGAGAACACAGTGGCACTGGTTCCTCACACACACACACACACCTGCCGAGCGCTGGTTCTTCTCCTCCTTCTCCTATTTTTTCTCCTCCTCCTCCTTCTACTCCTTCTCTTCCTAATTTTACTAATTTTTCTACTCCTCCTCCTCATTTCCCCTCCTTCTTCTCTGCCTCGTCATTTTCTCCCCCTTCTCCTCCTTATTCTACTACTCCGCCTCCTCGTTTTCTCCCCCCTTCTCCTCCTCCTCTTCCTTATTCTCCTCCTCCTCCCCTCCCCATTTCTTCTCATTCTTCTCCTGCTCATCCTCCTCGTTTTCTTTCTTCTCCTCCTCCGAATTTTCTCACCCTCTCCTCCTCCACCTCCTCATTTTCTCCTCCTTCTCCTCATTTCCTCCTCTTCCTTCTCCTCCTTATTCTACTCCTCCTCCTCATTTCCTACTTTTTCTTCTCCTCCTCTTCATTTTCTCCCCCTTCTCCACCTCCTCATTTTTTCTCGCCTTCTCCTCCTTATTCTACTCCTCCTCCTCCTCATTTTCTCCTCCTGCTTATTCTCCTTCTCCTCCTTATTCTACTCCTCCTCCCCTCCCCATTTCTTCTCATTCTTCTCCTGCTCATTCTCCTCGTTTTCTCATTTTCTCCTCCTCATTTTCTCCTCTTCTCATCCTCCACTTTCTCATTTACTCCTCTTCCTTCTCCTCCTCATAATTTCCTCCTCCTTCTTCTCCTCCTCCTTGTCTTCTCCTCCTCCTAATTTTCTCCCCTCTCCTCCTCCTCATTTCCTCCTCTCTCCTCCTCATTTCCTCCTCCTCCTCATTTTCTCCCCCTTTCCTCCTTTTCCTCATTATTTTTCTCCTCCTTCTCCTCCTCTTTCTCCTCCTCCTCTTTCTACTCCTTCTTCTCCTTCTATTCCTTCTCCTCCTCTTTCTTATTTTCCTCCTCCTTCTCCCCCTCCTCCTTCTAATCTCCTTCTAATCCTCCTCCTCCCCTTCTACTCCTGCTTCTCCTCTTTCTTATTTTTCTCCTCCTCATTTTCGCCCTTTCTCCTCCTTTTTCTCATTATTTTTCTCCTCCTCTTTCTACTCCTTCTCCTCCTCCTCTTTCTCATTGTCCTCCTCCTTCTTCTAATCTCCTCCCCCTTCTCCTCCTCCTCTTCATTCACCTCTTTCCTCCTGGCACGGAGTTGAAGGTCCTGCTTTCTCACGCTCAGGTTTATCTCGACAGCACAAAAGCAGAGCCGCAGTGAGCGTCGCATTTCTGTCTGTTTGCATCAGTTTTGGCCTGTATAATTCATTTAAATTAGAGCAGAAGCTCGGCTGAGTAATAAACCCGAGTTGGGCTGCGCTACGGTGTAAATGAAATGTGAATATTTTACTGATGAAAATGCAGAAATGCTCTTACTCCACTTTCCTGCATTATAAATAGAGGGCTTGACGAGCGAGGAATGCTTTATTGTCTTCTCTGGAAGCACTAAAAGGCTCCGTCGCAGGATCGTTCTCTCAGCGCTGACAAACATCTTTCTCTGCAGAGCTTTCGTCCCAAACCAGCTCACACACACACACACACAGCCACACACCACCTGGAGTGTGAAACACACACATGGAGAACCACTCAGGCCTCTTTTGAAACTCATCTGCCCTGAAGATGTAATAAAATTGACATATTGATTCCTTTGAATTTACGAATGCCTGTTTCATAAACTCCATTTCCAAAGCTTAGAGCTCCGTCATTTTCCCCCAAATGGATCAATTATGTGCCCACGTAATCCAGTTACCTGTGAAATCCAGCAATACTCTCGCCCTCTCTCTCTCTCCACACACACACACACACACTGCTGTGTCCCGTCTATCACACACTGAGCAGAAGCTCATGCAGGATTAGGATGAATTATGCTCACCTACATCCATTACATTTGAAACATTGACAGAAAATGAACTCAACACTCGCTGTTTAACGTCGTCACGTCTTTAGAGCGCTTCTGTGTTCAGGCTTTATAGTGCAAATTAAAATCAGACTGCCAACAGTTCACATAGTTCTACACACACTCCTCTACACACACTCTTACAGGCAGTGTTTAGGTTAAGAGTGATGACACGTGAAAGCAAACACATCGTCTCTTCTGCTCAGCAAAGCTGCATCTATTCCGTCAAACATGAAATATTATTGTAATGTGAAACAGCTGTTTTCTGTCATTTATTCCTGATTTGATCATCATTACTCCAGTCACATGATCCTTCAGAAATCACTCTAAAATGAGGATCTGGTGTAACTGCGAATATATTTTATTTTTCAGGATTCGTTGAAGAACAGAGAATTTATGCATTTATTAAAAATGGAATTGATTTGAAATCTTTTGTAACATTTCAAATGTCTTTATTGTCACTTTTGATATATTTAATGTGTCCTTGATGAATTAAAGTATTAATTCCTTTAAACAAGGCCAAACATTTCAACGCTATTGTACAAGTCACTCACATCTTCAGAACTGAATCATAGAACAACTGAATTAATCAGATGTTTATGGAATTAAATAATGAGTATTTTAAAGAAATGCATTTTAAATATTTCATTTTGTAAAATCACCCAATAAACATCACCTTAAAAACAAGAAATAGCAAATAATACATACTCAAAATATGAAGGATTTCTGCGATAGCCTGATAAAGAAACTGTGCCGTGCAAACTGTGTGTGTGTTCTGTGTGTGTTTGTGTCTTATGTGTGTGTTGGTGTGTGTTCTGTGTGTGTTGTGTGTTCTGTGTGTGTTGTGTGTTCTGTGTGTGTGTTCTGTGTGTTTAGTGTGTGTTCTGTGTGTGTGGTGTGTGTTCTGTGTGTTTAGTGTGTGTTGTGTGTTCAGTGTGTGTTGTGTGTTCAGTGTGTGTTGTGTGTTCAGTGTGTGTTGTGTGTTCAGTGTGTGTTGTGTGTTCAGTGTGTGTTGTGTGGTCTGTGTGTGTTGTGTGTTCTGTGTGTGTGTGGTGTGTGTTCTGTGTGTGTGTGTGTGTGTTGTGTGTTCAGTGTGTGTTGTGTGTTCTGTGTGTGTTGTGTGTTCTGTGTGTGTTGTGTGTTCTGTGTGTGTGTGGTGTGTGTTCAGTGTGTGTTCTGTGTGTGTGTGTGTGTGGTGTGTGTTCAGTGATTACTGCATACCTGCGCAATAAAACATTCCTGCAATCTCAGTCATGGGACGGATTTATGAATATTGAATAAAGGAATGAAGATCACACACCGAAACCACAACAACAGCACAACTCCAAACTGAAGACCAACATCAGCTCAGTGTGTGTGTGTGTGTGTGTGTGTGTGTGTGTGTGTGTTCAGCAGGTTAAGGGTCACTACGCTCTGGAATACCTGTCAGATCACACACGACCCAAGCAGTGGAGTGACTCCGAGAGGACTAGGATCAAATCATAATAAAGGGAAATTCTGGGAAGCGTGTGTGTGTGTGTGTGTGTGTGTGTGTGTGTTCAGGTGTGTGTATTCTTCTGTTTCAGCGCCTTATATCCGTGTCATTATCACTGGCTGATAAACACTCGTCCTGATTGGCTGGTAAATCTGAAAGTGTGTGTCGTACGAGATCATGCTTTAAAACACTTCCCGTGTTTAGCAAACACACCGCAGTGCATGCTGGGAAGCGCGAGAGAGGGAAGTGAACAGCGATTCGTCCGTCTGCTGCTAACGGCTCGTTCTCTTACACCGCACCTGTTCGGGACGAGCCGCCGCGCGCGGCTTTAATCACGCGTTAATTAACGGCGTACAGGAGGAAACGCAGCAATCATAATGCGGAGAACGATGATTTCCCACATTAAACTGTTTTGTTCGGTGGTTCTGTTGATTATAAACACGTTCTATCATCTGTAATTTACTAATTGTTTTACAGGAGGAAGAAACTAGAAACTGACTCTCTCCGTTAGCAGATTAACCCTGTGTTTGCTGGAGCTGAGGAGCGCATGTGTGTGTGTGTGTGTGTGTGTTCTTCAATGTAGACCCATAATAACGCAGCGACCTGACGTGTTTAAAGCCCTCTCACACACACACACACACACACACACACACACACACACACACACACACACACACACACACACTGCTGTCAGCTTCTCGAGGCTCGACTGAGTTGATTTGATGGAAGACCTCGAGGGGAAAGTCCTGCGACTGATGAACACTTACGTCAAGACGATTTGGCACCGCTGGGAAAAGGTAACCTCTGCGTCACACACACACACACACACACACACACACACACACACACACACACATATACACACTACACACCGCATACACACACACACACACACACACACACACACAAGGGTAAAAATACTTTTTTGTTTGTGTGTTTGTGTGTGTGTGTGTGTGTGTGTGTGTGAGAGAGAGAGTGTGTCTGAGAGTGTGTATGTGTGTATGTGGTGTGTGTAGTGTGTATATACAGTATGTGTGTGTATGTGTGTGTGTGTGTGTGTGTGTGTGTGTTAATTGCACATGAGACTGTCTGCTGCTGTAACTGCCCACTCCTCTCAGAAAGGCAGAAATGAATATTTAATAACTTTAATTACTGAGAGAAACGCTTCAACCGTCCTTCACTAATTATGAGCTCTGATGACGTTTGAGAAGCGACTCCAAACACACACTTCGATAGAGACACAAACACACACCAGTAACTTCCATAAACCATCGAGTGTTTCATTTGCAGGAGAGCGAGAGCACAAATATGACTTTACGATCTCCGGAGGGAAACACACACACACACACACACACACACACACACACACACACTCTGAGTCTCTCAACTCTTCTGTCACTATGATCATACACTGGATCTCCAAACACCTTTACCTGAAATAAAGTTGATCAAATCTGGATCTAAAGCTGTGGAAATTTTGCATTGATTTCAGCCGACAATTGCTCACACACACACACACACACGCACACACACACACACACACACACACACACACACACACACACTGGTGCGTCTGGGAAAGGCTGAGGACAGGCTGTCTGTGTGATTAGCGCGGCTCCACCTGAGGAGGTGTTTGTTTGACATGTGTGTGTGACAGCGGAGAGACGGTGCTCTGACGGCCCGGGCGAACGAGGCTTTATCTGCAGTCAGAGTCCATTAACTACAACACACACGCCAGCAGAGAGAGAGAATGTGTGTGGTGTGTGTGTCTCCTTGGCACACTTTCCCTAACCTTAAAGCAGCGCGGCGGTGTTCTGCTGAGACCATGTCAAAATCTCACACACATCAAACGCTTTCCTGACACTCTTAACAGAGCAACTTCATCTCCCTGTAGAACAATACAGGAACTGTGTGTGTGTGTGTGTGTGTGTGTGTGTGTGTTGAGTTCCTGATGTCATGATCTGATATCTACATCTCTTATTGATTGACTGACCTTGCCAGAAGAGAACCGACAATCATCAAAGAGAAACGACCTCTCTGTGTGTGTGTGTGTGTGTGTGTGTGTGTGTGTGTGTGTGACTTCTCTACCTCTAACCCTTCATAAAAACAGAAATAATAACTTTCTAAACATTAAAAAAAAAAATAAATAATTAAACCAGCGGCTGGGTTAGTCCATATTTGACACAAACATGAGTTTAAACAACCCAGCATTTTTTAGGGTTTAGTTATAGTTATTATTCCAGTTATTTTTATAGTTATTTTTATAGTTATTATTCTAGTTATTTTTATAATTATTTTTATAGTTATTATTCTAGTTATTTTTATAGTTATTTTTATAGTTATTAATTCTAGTTATTTTATACTAGTTATTTTTATAGTTATTATTCTAGTTATTTTTATAGTTATTTTTATAATTATTTTATAGTTATTTTTATAATTATTTTTATAGTTATTTTTATAGTTATTTTTATAATTATTTTTATAGTTATTTTTATAGTTATTTTGATAGTTATTTTTATAGTTATTTTGATAGTTATAGTTATTGTTGTTGAAAATGCAGTTGTGTATCTTTTGTTTGTTTCTTTCTTCTGCAGAATATTGCCATCAAACT